CCTTGATTTTCTGGTTGAAGGAAAGAAGTTAAAAATAGACATTTATACACCATTCGATAGACAATTTCAAGAGCTACATTTTGCACTATTTATATTTGAAAAAAGGATTATTTCGATTTTCCGCCTATATGCCCACTGTGAACCAGAGATCAGTCTTTTATCTAGTTTTGATGATACTTTACTATATTTCAACACTGGCAAAGCAAAGATCAGTGTATAAACATGACTGAAAACTTTTGAAGGAAGTTCTTCTTCCACACGGAAGGTAAATGAGAAAGAACGAGGCAGAGAAGCTAGTTGCAAAAGAAGTGGTCGAAATTTACGTCCGGTGACGCCATTGAGAACAAGTGATTCAAGGCGACTGAACGATGAATTGAATGTAACTACGTTCACAAATTTTGTTATAGTCGATATTTCGGACAAGCGAATTGAGACTACCTGATGTCTGTCAGGCATAATGATCTGTGTACAGTATTTTGAAATGTTTGATTTTGATAGATGTTCCAAGCGAGTGTCTGATTTGCTAGATGAGATAAAAAAAAGGCTTCAAACAAACTAGAGATATTTTGTCGTTACTTACTTGGTCATATTCACAAATTTGACTAAAAACGGAAAAAAATTCAAAATTTAATTAAGTCAATGAATCAGTTTACAATTTACTTCGAATTATCTTTGCTGCTTCGTGATATGAGTCGTTCAGACTTAGGTACTGCTTGGTTTGATTCATGTCTGTTTGATCTATATTAAAAAACTCCATAGTTATATACGATAATGCTTTTTTTTACTTGCACGCATTGGAATACGCTTATCTTTCAAAGCAAATAAAACGTGACGTAACCTTCTGCGTCTTGCTGGTTATTCTATGAAATTTTGTTAATTCATATTCCTTTTATCTCTTGTGACACAGTTTTATTCACCATTATGGAACGTTTTGCAGAAAGCCAAGAAGCATCTTTTATCTTTTTGCTATATTTAATAAAACACATATAAGGTACATCACTTGAATGCACATATCGAAGACTTATATGTTAACCATAAATTAGATATCAATTCTATTCATGTTGTACTTGTGTATTTCATCACACTTACTCGACGGCAAACAGTTCTTTGCCAAACAGATCGCTCATTTCGACTTACCATTGGCTCACCTTTCTTGAATCAACAGCAACAAGTGTGGTAGAAGTGAGGTTGCATTGAATGAAACTCGAAAATTTCTAACTTCATGCTGTCTATATTTCATTCAACATCAATCTTTTGCTCAATCACTGAAGAGTTCAAATTTGAAAAGTAGATACATAGCTTTCGGTATCCCATACTGAGATCATCCCATATTCGCTATTCCTTACTACTCGATTAGTCGCTGTTTCATGGCACTCTCACGCGTTGTCACGTCCACTGGATGGTTGTTTCGGGTCGTATCAATATTCGGTGAGACCCTCGCGAGCTGTCATGTCCAGGAGTATGAGTAGCTGCCTAATTCGAATATAAAAGAAATTCGAATCGACACTTTACTGTACATGGATAAATATATAAATAGAACAAATAGATCGAATTCGAATCGACACTTGTCTTTTTATGGTGAGGATGAGGGTGGTTGTAGACACTCACCCTCGCTCCTATTTCCTTGAAATTCAAATTTTTTCCATATTGTATTGTGCAAAGCATTTGACTATCTGCTCATCAATTGTTGATTCCAGCCTCTGTTGGATTGAGAAATTCATTTTCATTGGGTATATATCTTACCTATTTCTTATCACTGTGGAATCAAAAAGTCGGTTACTGTTGAGAAACATTTTCAACCGTTCACGTTTTGGGTTTTCGAGGACCCACATGCAGCGATGTGTGCTCAGCGAAACGGTGGGCAGCCCAATCAGCCATGCCCTCCACTCGCGGTTTCGCTGTTCTAAATAAAATTCTCCTGAAACCTGTTAACATTCTGGCGAAAAGTTATATACAAAAGTCGAAGAGTGGAAGAGTCCACTTGCAGTTTCGTCACCAGCCTTTCAACTGAGCTAGATTTGCTACTGTATGACCCATGAAAGCTGCGAATTGAGTCGTCGAAAGACGTTTCAAAAGAACTGAATTTCGACGGAATGGAGATTGTTAATACGGATGAGCCATTGCAATCTAACGTATTACATATTCCATGCATTCAGAACTCAATTTTCGAACTTGACCGAGCGTAAGCTGAATAGACGCGGTTTTTCCTCATATAGATTCGAATTTCCGGACCAAACCCAAACTGAAACTATGAAGCAAATTTTTATCAAATTCTCTTTTTCTCATCTTATTTCAATTTCCAGAAAATACGAATTTGGCGTCTGAGATTATTGTCAATCTATAATGATGCTGGAATAATATTCTTCACAGTTGAAGTCAACCCATGACCTTGACTTGCAACTGTCAGATAGTGTTCGCGAATGTGAGATTGACGCATCACATTCATATAATATCTTCTTAGAATAATATCAAGAAACAAAGATAAACCACTACAATATTAATCACACCAGCATTCGCGTTCAATAACGGCCAACTCACAAAGTCCATTGAATTGAGGTTCGAACTCGCTGTCTGGCTTTTGTTCTCTAGTAGAATAATCTAGACGGAAAACATCTTTCTGAGATAGCTCTTCTGTCTGAGTAAATAGTTAATAAACCAACAAAAATGCGGTAATTAACAATCAGCTAGAACGTAAAAAAATGGTTACAAAATTAAGAAAATAGGGTTTATGTATGGAGAAATAACTGTTTTAGTCCTGATAGGTAGAAGAAAAATGCTGTGAAATGAAATTCATATCGATGTAGTAGGAGCTTGATCACCTTTTAGTGTTGATTCTGTAGATGGTTTTTCATTTTTTCGTTTCATATTACTTTTCACATTTCGACATTTGACTGTAATTATAATGCAGTATAATGCAATTATAATATGCTCTATAATAATCTATAACACGATTATTATTTTCCAGTTACAAGAGAGATTGTTCGAAACTATCAAAAATCGATTTTTAACGAAAATCATCAGCGATACTAAATTCATATTTCGAAGAAAGTCATCGTAAATATCGTGACTCTTTTCTGGATAAACTATGAATTCGATGAAAAAAAGCAGTGAGTTGTGCAATCATACGCCAGTTACAAAGGAAAAAAGTAAACGATCTCGCCAGGGATCGAACCTGGAATCTCCCGCTCCGTAGGCGGGCGCCTTAGCCGTTGGGCCACGAGACCGTGTTCTATAGTAATCTATAACATGATTATTATTTTCCAGTTACGAGAGAGATTCAAAACTTCGGCAGTATTGATTGATGGCCGAAGTGAAGATTCTAAACGAGAATTATTATTATCAATATAATTATACTCACGCTTTGTTCTATATTGATACAGTGTATTTTCAGTTAATTGATTATAGTTCATGAGCTTGAGATCCCTTACATTAAAGTTCTCGAATTTGTTTATTTTTTATGAATTTTAAATCACCTGTAAACGACATGTTTATGATGTGAATCAATATAAGGTGACAATCACATCTTATGTGATAAAATTCATTCATATTAAAATTAGTTACAGTTTGTCTATCATCGAATATTTTGGTGCTTATAGAATTCGTCAGTTTACATGTGGTAACAATTTCTTTGTTTTTCACTCCATTCGGGAGAAGTTGGTTAACCGATTTTGTTTAATGTTAATAGCAAACGGGTGGTAAGTTTCCTGTGTCACAGTTCTCTTGTCGATGGTTGTTTCCACATTTGGCGCAGACTTGATTTTCCTCGCTTGCAATACTTCTAGACATGTCCGAATTGTAGACAGATGAACGGATGACGGTTTCTTCGTTCACCTCTTCTTGGACCTCGAGGCATTCCTCCCCGATTCATCGATCTTACCGTTAGGTAAATGGTTCAAAAATGGCTTGGAAGACTTTGCTTCTTTTACCAGATTCTTATTCTCTAGTAGATACACTTTGTCTAAACCGAATGAACAATGATCTTTCGGTTTTGAAAAAGAGTAAAAACTATATAAATGTTTGAGCATTCTAGCCAAAACTGGACATGACCGTCTTTTATTTGACTTTGATTCTTTACAAGGGTCATTTTTCTATAGAAGTTCTTTTATCATGAATATATGTAAAAGTATTGACTCTTTCTGCTCACACCAAATTAAAACTCATTAGTTAATTAGTGAAAACGTAAGCAGCGAATAAATTTCTAACCTTATGACAAAAAAATCCAAGAATTTCACGACAGACTTCACGCCTCGAACTACATCCATGGTGAAATTTTCAGCAAGATTGGATTTCAAAAAGTGCTTTCTAAAAAAACGGTTTTCCAGAGATCGCCTCATGTCTCGAAACAAACTTTTTTGTTTTGCCTACATCTTGGGACGCTAGAGGACAGATACCGCCCAACATACGAAAAAAACACTTGTCCAAAACAGCGGTATGTTGAAGTTTTCAAGTTTCAGGCAAAGTAAAAGGTCCTAGAGTTATCTTTTTACCAAACATATCTTATAAAGACACATCTTTTGACATATAAATGTCGAGAAAAAAACTGGAGGGTCAAGTTAGGGTGGTCCACACTCCGAACTGGCCCAGCCAACGATAATCTGTCTTTTGTCTTGAAGTCATCCGACTTTAGTCAAAACCAAAAACTGACATCAGATTCATGTTCATCGTGTAAAACTGAGTCGAACTGAGTATAGAGGAGTTTTTCAAAGGGCCTTTTGGGTAGTTATACTGGACATGTCCCTGATTGCGAAGCTGTATCATACAGACTCTAACCAAAGTGGATCTATCCAACATTCTGGGAACTTCCTTCTGGAATATGAAGGAAAATACCAGTAGTTCAAGTCTCGATTCAGGAATAGTCCAAGATTGAACAAGAAAAACAGTATTGAGTGTTCGCTTATTTGTTGATAATTCTAGTGAAACTGTCTCTTGTGCTTTCCGTTAAACACAAATGTCACTGGTTGCTCACTTATTGCTCCATTCGGATTCAATAATTGACGTTTCAAATTGATATAAAAATAGTTTTGATCCGAGACCATAACCAATTCGGTGTTGAGTTCAAAATGTCGTCTCATGGACAGATCGACATTTGGATAGACTCGCTCCTCATCATCTTGCATAGGCACATCGTTGATCGATGCATATCCATTCATACCAAATACATAGACTTGCCGTGCATGTGTTGTCCATCGCACATCGCCAGGATCCAAGTGCGAACAAGTAAAGTTCCACGCAAGGAGAGCCGACATGAAACAACCGTTAGGTAAGAGTTCATAGGTTATTTGTTCGAAAGTAATTGTTGTTGCTAAATCTGTTTCATGTTTGTGATACGTTCTTGGTGTGCCGCCCGAGAATGGCATTGGAAGAATGTCGACAGGTGAGACTTGTAGTTGAGTGAACGGCGGTGGTGGTGGTGTCGATGTCAAAACAGGAATAATGGGTAAGTCAACGAAAGTGGATGATGGATTGAGATAGAGTGATGTATTCATTGGAAACGGAGTTGGCCAGTTGCTGTAAAACATGGCATTGGAAACAGCAACACGAATGCGATGATCGGACAAGAAGGTCCATGTGGTGAAATGAAGCTGAAAAGTGACTGTGTATACGTCATTCAGTTCGAGATAGGCCGGTGGTGTTTGTCGCTGAGCCCCGTTTAACGCACCTACAGCCACTAGCCACACTTGATCAAGTGTCATATCAACATCTTCAAGACGCACAATCCAGTGAGCTAGACGAGCGGTGGTGCTCACCTTCAAGCACACAAACAATAGGTTAGAGACATTTAATAAACTTTGCATATATGTCCCCTCTTACACAAAACGTGTCTTTCTCTCGTAGAACTTAGGCATGGAACGAACCTGCAAACGTCCGAAATAGGTATGCACCGAGCTTCGAGTTACCCGAAAGCTCGAAATTCGAGCCACCCAAGTTCGAGCTATCCAAAAATTAAAGTCTGTTTCTTTTCTGATGGTGGTTATTCTCAGGCATAAAGAGGATCGCACAATTTTATACTATTTTGCGTTAACTTCATTTGCACTTTGCTCAAGTAATCTGAACTGTTACATCGCTTTAGTATTTTGCCATAACAAAAATTTCGTTTGGTACTTAGACTAAGGCACTTTTGATTTCGATCGAACATCGATTATTCGAAATCGAAAATAATCGAAAATGTCTTACTCTAAGTGCAAAACGAAATTTTTGTTATGGCAAAATACTAAAGCGATGAAACAGTTTAGATTACTTGAGCAAAGTTTAAAATGAAGTTAACATGCAAAATAGTATAAAAGTGTGGGATCCTCTCTAATATGGAGGCCTGAGAATAACAACCCAAAAAAACACAGACTTTAATTTTCGGGTAGCTCGACCCGGTGCGTACCTAGTCCGAAATGTTATTATTTGTCTGACGACAAAATCCATGTATTATCGCATTTGAATACACATTATATTCCACTGTTTTTGTTCGTGCAAAAGATGTGTGGACGACTCGATTCTATCAGTTATCTCGAGTACTGTACTGATAGAAGATATCAGCTTGAAATTCTTAACAAGATAGGATACTTTTCAGCTCGTTTCCAGAAGCTGGAAGTCAAGCTACTTTTAGCATGACAAACTTTGCCATGAGATATCAGATCCCGTGGGTGTTCTTTGACTCGATGCCATTAATCATCTGTAAATGAAATAAACATTGCAGCAGTCAAACCAGGCACATATGCTTTTACTGATTGAGTTACGAATGATTTCAAATAAAAAGCAAAGGTTTACTGCACACCTCTCTCTCGGATTTGGACTTCGAGGCAAAGCTGCTTAGTCATGTAAAAACTAATCATTATTACTTTTTTTGAAAAGCAAATTTGAGACTTTTTCGATGCTCGACTCATCCTAACCAGCGGAAGTAAACAATCGGACTAGAGCGTGGACTGAGGTAAAGTACTGCCTTCATTTCTATACCAACCGCAGTCAATAATCGGTCAAATTCATAGTTTTGTTTCTCGAGAATACTGTTGCAATTAGCAATTTTTTTTCTGACACAGCATCCTAGTACCTGAAGAGACACTTTGACAAAACCAACAACTTCGATTGCTTCCGTGATCAGATCACTCTCATAGACGAGACAGTATTTGTCAAAAGATCGCTGATCTCCCGTCAGTCCGCCCAACCATGCCCCGGCCTCAAAACCAATCCATGGTCGATATTCAAGCGTGTCCACATCTGTATTATTTTTTCTCCCTTCTGAGGCTGTTGATGATGCTGCTGCTGGTTGTTCAACCAGTTTTTGTCCTTTACTCATGAACATTCGACGTGTCTGCTGTCGAGCAATTGGCCATTGAGACTCATATCGATAGGTACCTGTGGTGAGACTCGTTCGAATGAACAGTGTGATATCGGGCTCGTTCATAATGTCACTATTCTCGTTGTCATCTTTGAGCCAATGATTGAACCATCGAACCATCTCAGCTTTGCCATCGAAACCGGGACCTGGATTGCGGTTAGAATACTCAGGCATTGCATGAACAAATGGGCCAACGACGACTTTGATCTTGGGCGATACACGATGCGCAGGCTCATATATGTTGACGGCAAAATCTTTGTAGCTATAGAACATCAAGGGATAGCAGGTGAAATTCATCTAATCTATGAAACTTACGCATCGTAGAGTCCTGCAAGTAGATAAACGGGTACAGTGAGATTGTCATAGGCATATTTTATCGAGTGTTTTCTCCAAAATGAATCGTCTAATTGATGTTCGAGATAGACATCGATCCAAGGTCTCACTGTAAATCGTTCTCTGATCCATTGTTCATTCATTACATAGTCGGGCGTGGCCGGCAATGCATTTTCATGATCGACAGAAAGTATATATTCGTCCTGATGAAGAATACCATCGCCATAATGAATATCATTTTTGTACAAATCTTCAGAGCCATGTGCAACAAAGATAGCTCCAAGAGCGGATGGTCGTCGCAGTGTGGCCATCATGAGAGAATTGAATGCTGACCAGCTCAATCCCTACATTCCCACACGGCCATTGGAGCGAGGATGATCAGCGAGCTGTTCAATCACACGTTCACAACCATCTAATTCTTGTGGAGTGTATTCTCGCTCGATGAGAACACCTTCAGAAGAACCTGTACCGCGAATGTCAACTTTGGCCACCTGAGAAAAAAGAAGTACACACATAGTCTAACGAGAATGCCATTTGTTCACTCACAATGAAACCTCGCCGCACGAGATAGTAAATATTTGGTTGATTGAAATTGTAGAAACCGTCATCTTTTCGATAGGGTTTGTATTCGAGAAGAACAGGAAATTTTTCGTCAATGTGTTTCCGAATGGGTATATTGAATGTGGCCGAAAGGCGAACGCCATCCGGCATCGAGAGCCACACATTTTCTGTCGTAAAAGAGTACATGTAGGAAACTTCAGCAATCGCTTTCTGCGTTCGAAAATAGAGAAACAGAGCTTATTCTTTGTTAAGTAACTAGATAGTTGACAAAAAACCACACGTTCACAAACTTTCGACAAGGCAGGCAGTAGTGTGATAGGTCGATAGTTATTTGGATCAAGAGAATCTCCAGACTTGAACAGGGGATTCACAAGGCCTCGCTTCCATTGGTGAGGAAAGACTCCTGATGAAAACGAGTGTTGAAGAATATCTACAAGTGTTAGAGTGATCCATGGCTCAAGATTCTTTAACATACGGTTAGTTAAGCCTAGGGCAGCTGCACGATTGCAATCTAATTTTTCAAGAATGGAGCAAACAGAGGAGTAAGAAACAGTAAAAGAACTCAACTTATAACTGGTTGACGGTAAGGAATCAGCAGCAGATATGTCAAGTTGAGGACCTCGCCAAGTGCATATAGTTGCGAAATGTGAATTCAAAATTTCAACTTTCTTAACGGCATCTGTAATAATGACATTGTTCATATCATTCAGTGCTAGGATAGATGACAGCCGGTTACGTCTCATTGAGTGCTGAACAAGAGACCAACAATTTTTAGAGGAAGCCAAAACTTTATTATTGATCCTCCGATAGTATTCTTTTTTGACCGATGTACAGGCTTCACTAAACTCTTTTGCTGCCTCATCGTACCGCTTTTGTGAATAATATGATGGTTTGTGACACATAGAACGATACAATTTGACCTTCTTCCTGTATAGAGAGCGAAGATTATC